TAGTAGTCTGTTTTATTGACTCAGATTTATTGGTATACAAAATATTTACTTTGGTTATTATGAACATCGTAGATGTGGACTAAGGGACTACCCAAAGAACGGGGAGCACTCCCGGATAAACCTAAACCTTTAAAACTATCTTATATATATAGATATCCTGCCAAACGTGGGCATTATGCCAAACTTCTCCTTCATGGCTACATAATGCATCTGTGCAATGGCAGTCCATTGCGACAGTTTACAAGAAAATATTCTAATAAACTGACTTCAAAAAGAAAAAAAGAAGGAGGTTCCATGTTTGTACCCGATTATCTCGCGATTAGCTGAACCGATTCTGATGCGATTTTCAGAAAAGCTTTTCTTACACTTGGGAGGAGGTTTTAGTTATACTAATTAACAGGGGAACAGAAAAAGAGAGGGTCGAAGTCGGTTGTTTTTAACATAGATTTTAAAAGAATAATATTACTAGAAAAAAAACAACTAAATACCTATTAAGTCAATTAATTTCGTGAACAATTTACACATAATTAAATAATTTCACAATTATATTTTAATCGAGGTTCCAGGAAACATAATAATATGTGTAAGAAATGTGTGACGTGAGTCGCGAGTTAATTACATTCCATGTTTATTTAGTGGCATTGATATCAATAATTTAAATTTCCAGTCAACGAATGAACGCGTAGAGTTGCCGGCTCATTGAATTATCGTCGGTAGCTTTGTTCGCACTTATCATTATATTACGAATAATTAATGAACCGTTTCCCGCTATACGACAATAAATGAACCAATATGGCTACCGAATTAGAATTACTCAATACTCATACATATTTATGTTGACTTTCGGAGCCAATTAAGACGATACATTTTTATATTTTATCGTAACATTCTTTGAATGAAATACAAATCGGCTTCGACACAACTTAAAATTATTCTCATTTGATGAAGTATAAAGTGTAAATATTAATCAGTATTAAAGGAGTCTGTTACGAGAAATTAGCTAAGAAAACAATAAATCCACGGTCGCATAATTTTGTGAAGTTTCGAAGTAATTACGAGAGCGCCTTGAGCTCGAACTGAGGGTAACATTTGATTGTAGAGAGCTAAATTAATAGAACCCATCCTCCCGTCAGCCCCTTCTAAACTTCACTACAGTACCGAGCACGGAAAATAAACGTTAGAAATCATACCCAGAGAAAACCATCTTAGATAAGGTTGAAGAAAATTTTTCTTTGTAAATTATCCAACAAGTTATTACGCAGACAAGGTGTATCTAACGGAGTATCGGGTGGATGAAGAAAATTCTTAATTAAAATATTCTTTTATTAAGATACCTGTACTTGTACTCTGACTACGATGACGTTCTTATAAAGGAAATACTATCTACTCATCTTACTTAATATTTTTATGACTTCGGCTACAGGAAACATAATCGATTTCGATATTGACTTTCGCAGGCCATCCTTCCACTACAAGCCTTTATGCTCCACCACACCGAAATGAGGAGAATTCTTTCAGAAATAATTTCTCCAATAATTTCTTGGTTCGTTTGAATGGTAGCCTGGTCCCAACATCATTATTCTCAGAGAGCGCTTACTTTCAAGACATAAACTTTAACGTTATACGTCACAGAGTAGAATTTAGTGGCCGACAGTTAGCCACATTTGGAACATTGTTATTTGAACAAACATGTTTGTTTTCACTAGTTGTACTTGGACAGAGGAACGATATATTATTTTAGTTTCACCGCACAATATGTATTTCTGTCCCCGATCAAAAACAAACCTCGAAAGTTTTGTCGAACCCTCAAGGATTACCTACGAGGAATTTGGATGTAACTTTTATATTTCTATTTTTGCAGGATAATATGTGTATCCATAAGTTCGTCTATAAATATTCCAGAAGCAACATTTTCTTTTATACTTAGTACTAAATCTGTAAAACAGGTTAAAATCGTAAGCCGGACGTCATTTCGCTTGAAATACGATCGAACCGAGAAATCCGAGAGAGGAAAAGCCAATTGGCTAATTGGAGGCCTACGTCGACCATCAGTCGTCTGGCGGGAAATCAATGGCAGCTAATAGCGTGAAAGAATGTTGTCCCGTCTGGCATTATGACTCTTTATGGATTAAATCTTGAAATCGACGATTACTTGGCGATATCTCAAATGGATCGTTTGTTTTGAATTCATTTTCTCGTTCTATTTACTTTACTGAGTATTTTCCGATGCATTTATGGGTATAAAATTAGTAAAAAATAAAACTGTATTTGCTTCACTTTATTAGTGTTTTACATTTAAAAAAGACTGTTAATTACGAATATAATATAAAGTTAAGCTGTACTGTATAGTAGTAAGCCCTTCCATCAAAACGGATACTCATTGTATAATCTTCAGAAAGTTCGCCTTTGACGGAGTGTCCGCCTATTCTTGCCGGTAACAAGCTAATTTACCGAAATAACAACAGACGCGTTTATTTTTTCTTTTCATGACGTAGAAAAATATTTGTACCAACCTGTTAAAATATTATTAAGAAGAAAGAAAAAATTTAAATAAATCTGACAATAAACATTACTACGTAACACCTCTGACCTGATATTGAAATGTTGTCATCATCGTCATCGGCTGGAAGACTTTCACGGTTGAACAAGGGCATGCCCCTATGTTCCCATCCATGTGAAATGACTTACTACTTGCATCCATTGGCTCCCTGTGACCTTGATGATATTGTCTGTCACATTACCTAAAATGTTAATCAGAAATAAATGACATAATTATTTTGAAAAAAGTAATTACACAGGGTTAAATACTTAGTCATTGAAAAAAATTACCTATTTTCTTTCAATCAGTGGCGTAAATATTCTTCAAAGCCCGTGACAAATTTTTGAACAGACCCCCAGCTTCATACATAGAAGAGAGAAGTTCAGATGAAAACGTCAATAAAATAGGGACCCCTTGTAGCTGAGGGCCTATGGCAACTTTCCGACTTGCGACCGTATAGTTACGCCACTGCTTTCAATGACACTTTAACGGCAAAGCACAACCATAGAATGAAAACATCGAAACCAAACGACAAACGGTTTAATTTCACTTCCAGCGGTAACTGAACAAAACAACAAAAGTCCAATAGTGTTACATTATATTAAACCAATTTACTGGTCGAGTAGTGAGGTTTAAAGTGATTTTCCCCCCACAAACCTCGTAAGTGGTACACAGAGCTTGGTGTTGACACTTCCCACTCGATATGACACGGTCGGATCAGATTCGGAGCTTTATACGTGTTTCCCATTTCAACGAATTGTGTGATCCCGCTCCATTATAGTGACGTGACTCCGTCACGGAGAGTGAGGTGGTGGCCGCTGTGGCCAGGACGGGAGGGTGCCCTGCTGACCAGGTCAAGGTGGGCACCATCCGTCCGGACAACTCGGGGCTGCGCACGGTGGTGGTGAGCTGCCCCGTCACAGCGGCCAAAACATTAAAGGAGGGCAAAAGGCTCTTGGTGGGATGGGTCTCGGCGCAGGTCAAGCTGCTCGAGGCCCGGCCTCTGAGGTGCTACCGCTGTCACGTGGGGGAGCAC